TCAATAAATCAGGTCTGTAAATATTGAAATAATTACTTTGTGTAAAGACAAAAAATGTTGAGATGATACCAAGGTAGAAAGGATGGAACCAAAATACACAGACCATTGTTATGATGTGCAATAAGTTAGAAAGAATGAGTTGTGGGACTGAATAATTAATGTGTTAGTTGAAGAATCAACTTCTTTCTTACTATTACATACTTAGACAACAATTTCTAAACACACTTCAGTGTTCCACAATCCTTACCTCCTTAAACCCATTCTCCACAATGCAGAGGCAGCAATTTTTGTAATTATTATTACTACTGATATTATTTGCTATCATGATGCTTCTGTCACAATCTTTCAGCAAGGACCACAGGCCTATACCACCACACTGAATTTCCTTTTTTTATTAGATGGGGTCTTTTTGTTTCCCAAGTAGGCCTTGGGTTCATGATCTCCCTGCCTCAGCCACTTCAAGCTGCTGAGATTACAGGTGCACACCACTGTCCCCAACCTTTCGTTTGTATGGTCCCATGTGGTCCCATCCTGTGGTACACAATATCTTAGCAGCACACACAGTAGCTGGGCCTGTGGTTATTTTTAACCATGTTACTTCTTTGTTTGTTGTTTGCTTGTTTAGATGTTAAAGGATGCATGTGCTCACCAGAAAGCGAGATGGTGAGACTGAGAGTGAGAAAGAGGAAGTAATCCCTAATAAAGCATGGTTATAATGCAATTCCTTCTCCTCCATTTCTCCATACTGTCAGGATTTGGGGCACCCACACATACGTACCTGGCATGTTTCTCAAGTTGTCAGGACCATTCAAACCACATTTAGCCATGTGGGAGCTGACTTGTTTAGGTACTAGGCTAGGGTGCTGGCCCAATCATGTTATTCTTACATATAAATTTCATCACCAGTAGAGTAAGGATCAAAATTTTAAACACAGAATTCCAGTTCCAACTAAATGTAGTTAGAGACTATGCTTACTCTCCAACCTAAAAAAGCTAATGAATTAGGCCAAATATATTCAGCAATGTTTTTCTTAACACTGAGTGTCAGGCACAGGACACGGATCCTTGAGAGAAGGAAAAATGCAATGAGTCCTAAGATGGTACAGGTTTACTTCCTGGAGAGTTTCCAGGTGAAAGCATAAAATGGAAAACTCACTCAAAACCTATGGTTTACACAAGGTGAGGACAAGGCAACTAGAGGTCTCCGGACAGAGTAAGAGAGCTCAGGGACTCTGCAGAGAGACTCTCTCTGTCTTCAGCTAAACGGAGATCACCATGTGTGTTAGAAAGCTACATGAGGCCAAGAAAAGAACCACTCAACGGGAGCCCATAGAAAATCATCCTTGGAGCTCACACAGAACTGAACATATCCACAGACCTACGAGCAGAGTGGGAAACTTCCTAGCACAGGAGTGTCTAATGGAGTGTCCAGAAGGAGGTTGCTTCTGAAGTGAGTGAAACTGGCATAAAGTAAAAGCTTACTTTAGCCTCCTTTAACAAAGCTGCAAAACAGGTCTCACAAACAAATAAATGGTTCCCATTTAATTGCTTCTAAGAACAGAGATGAGAAATGCAAAAATATCCATTTTAAAATTTACAATGTCTGATATCCAAAGAGGCAGGAAAGTAAAACTTATAATTTGTTAAAAACAAAACAAAACAAAACAAAACAAAAAATCAGTTATTATTTGTAATTTAGGGATTACATAAATGATGTAATTGATGACAAGAGCATTACATCTGTTATTTAAGAAGGAGAAAAAGATTGAGTATGCTCAGTAGATAGAAGATTTACAAACAACTACAAAAAAGAGGCCAGCAGTTTGCTTGATGGTTATAGTGTTGGACTCCTGGTCAACTGCAGTTCAAGTCCCTGACCTGGCAACTTGCTTTCTCAGTTTTTCTCTCTCTCTCTCTCTCTCTCTCTCTCTCTGGTAAGCTCATGTTACCTATAGCAAATTAAAAAATAATTATAATGATAAGTGAATTAAATAAGTAATTCTTTAAGAAAAAATTCACAAAAACATTTTTATGATGAAAAATATTCCACAATGTTAGAAAAGTAAAATGTGCCATATGATATTAACAGTGGGTTAGATATTGCAAAAGAAAAGAACAGTAAACTTGAAGACACAACATAATAAATGAATAAATAGTAAATAAGGAAAAACGTCCTGAAAATATAGTTAAGAGGACATCAGTAAGTTGCAGGACTTCATATTTCTTAGATAAAGGTTTGTGAGTGGTGCAGAAAAAAATTTGAGAAAGTAACAGTTACACATTTTCCAAATTTAATAAAAACTATAAACCCATATATCTAGTTATCTTAATGGACTCAAAGTACAAGAAATGCTAAAATCTTTGGTATAGCCCATAAAATCTTTTACTTCAAAATCCATCTCTGTATTTAAGTCTAACTATTCCCCTCCATTCCAAAATATACTTTCATTTTCCTTTTCCTTTTCTACATTATTTTTTGTTCTTGGAATGCTAGTTAATATCTTTAAGTGCTTCAATACTTTTTAAAACTGTGAGAGTTGGGCCTTCCGTGAGCTTGATCATGTTACCGCCTCTCCCCTACTCCCCTCCCTCACGTCCTGATAAACCTGCCCTCTTTCGTTCTCCCCTACTTATTTGAGTATAAGTTTAATAAAATTGTCTGCTTCTCCTGTTGCCTGTGAACTTCTCTTACTCATCTTTAAATTCTCAGAATATAATAAAATTTCTGAACTCTCCACCCAGTGAGTGTGTGAGAAAAGAATGAGAAAAGCGTCATAAACATGTCTTTGTTGTCACTATATTTCCAACATCTGGTAATACCTAGAATAATTGGACCTCAATTATTATTTTCAAATAAAGAAAGGAATGTTTATTGGTTCACACGTATAAAATCAAGTGATGTCTACGTGCAAGACATTGTTTTGTGCATGGAGACACAGTAGAGAAGATCTGTGAGCTTATATCCTAGCGTGTATGCACCTGCGTTTGTAAATGCTTCTGTGTACAGACTCTTTTTTTTTAAAGAATTGCTTTTATTTCATTTTATTTGTTTATTCATTTATCTTAATTTTACCATAGATAGATAGAGAGAGAAAGCCATCAGGACCGGGACTTGAAACCGTGGTCGGCCATGTGGGAGTGTCCAGCACCTTAACCATCATGCTACCTGCTTGTCCCCATACTTGTTTTTTTGTTTTGTTTTGTTTTTGTTTTTGTTTTTGTTTTGTTTTGTTTTTCTTGGAGAGGTTTTTGCTATAGGGCGTGTGCGCTCACCAGACAGATAAAGAGAGACAGAAAGCGAGAAATCGCCCCCCAGGGGGGATGGCCACGTCACAATTCCTTCTCCTCCATTCTCCTCTTGGGGGTCTCTGGCATGCACACACACAAGCCCAGTGTGAGTTTTAAGCCACCGGGTTTGGTACTTGAACCATGGTCGACTACATGGGAGTTCAGCGACATAGCCATTATGCTAGCTGCTGGTCCCTCCCATACTTGTTTTTTAATGGAGGAAAATTATACAAGTAAATAATCACATGAAAAAATATTTTTAGGTATTGAAAAGCAGTATGTAGACAATAAAATACACAAATTTAATTTGGGGTGAGAGTATATTGAATGGAAAGGGAAATATTTATGGAGAAGATAATATTCTGATAGATATTTCTTTAAAGGGAAATCTTAAAAGAGAAGATAATATTCTGATAGATATTTCTTTTTTTTTTTTTTGAGAGATTTTCACTGTAGGGTGCGTGCGCTCACCAGACAGACAGAGAGAGACATAGAGACAGAAAGCGAGAAATCACCCCCCAGGGGGGATAACCACGCCGCAATCCCTTCTCCTCCATTCTCCTCTCGGGATCTTGGGCACGCATGCACACTTAAAAGAGAAGATAATATTCTGATAGATATTTCTTTTTTTTTTTTTTGAGAGATTTTCACTGTAGGGTGCGTGCGCTCACCAGACAGACAGAGAGAGACATAGAGACAGAAAGCGAGAAATCACCCCCCAGGGGGGATAACCACGCCGCAATCCCTTCTCCTCCATTCTCCTCTCGGGATCTTGGGCACGCATGCACACGCGCCCGGCGTGAGTTTTAAGCCACCGGGTCCGGGACACGAACCGCGGTCGACTACGTGGGAGTCCAGCGACATAGCCATTACGCTAACTGCTGGTTCCCTGATAGATATTTCTGAAGAAAAAGGACCCACTCATTTAAGTTTCTGGGCCAGCCAGAGAAAACAGTAAATACAAGAGCCCTCAGGTAGAGTGAATGATGTTTCAGAACGAGAAAGAAGACATGAGTGGGTAACATATATGCACAATGACTAAAATCCTCCAGTGAAATACTTACTAAAATAAAAAAATTAAATAGCAACCATCTTACAGATAGGCTGCCTAAAAGCAAGAGATGGAAGGAAATACCTCTGTAACTCATATTCACCTTAAATATCTACAGTTTCTGGTTCAATGACTGTTCAAGGTGTGCTCTTACTTTAATAGACTCCTTGACCTCGAAATCCCTCACATTAGCATTTTTATTCTCCTGGTAGTTGTGACATCAAACCTTATTAATATTGTGCACAAATTGTGCAGACGGTCCTACAGGTTACTGCCAGATGAAAACTCTCTGACCCTTAGGCTTTGCCAGAGGCACATCCAAAATATGCAAAGTGGAAGATAAAATGACTTGATTGCAATTATCACCTTGTGCTGAATAGGGAAATTCTGGGTGTGTTACTTGTAATCCTTTGTATTCTGCCTCAACATCATTTTTTGACATTGTTTCTATTTGGAAAAGGCCTGAAATAAGCTTCTTTGGTTTCTGGTGCTTCTACTCTCTGGGGAAAAGATTACATAATCAGGGTGGAGGATGGAGTGACAAATGTAGAGGTACTTATATCCATGCATATATACCCACTTATAAATACAGCCTGTAGAACACCCACAGTGGTGAACTCTATTAACACGTTTCCAACAGATCTTTCAGAACTCATTGACCATGAGGCTGTCAGGCACCCTTCTGCTCTTGGCCAGTGTGGCCTGTTTGTTCCTCTTTGCAGGTGAGTTACAAATATATGTGTATATAAAATGGAATTTTAGACCAGACTGGTCAAAGTCCATAGTCATGATGTGATTTTTTAATGATGATTATGATGATGATAAGAGTGGTTACTGGCCATCCATCATGCTTTTAATTAAAAAAAAATCTTTTATTTACAAATTAACTGTTTTAATTTTCACTATAATACTATGTAGAAGATGGTTTCATTTCAATCTAAAAACAATGCTACGCATCATAAAGGGAGAAGGCCTTTTCCTGGGTCATGAGGACCCAAGTGGCTCATCTAGAAGTTCTAGGCTAATTGTGTCCTTCTCAGAATACCACAATTAACAGCATTAAGTTATAAATAAACCTCAATCTTCAAGGAAGAAATAAATACATATTGAAATTAGAAATTTTCTAAAGTCACTTTTAAGTATGTCTTATCTATAGAACTTCAACTGCCAAACTTTTTCTGAGATCCTCTCATTTTTCTGTAAATTGGGTAATTTTTACTTACCCTCTAGCAAAGTAAAGAGCTGATTAGGTAGATTGATAGATTAGATAGATAGAAAGATAGAGATAGATAGATAGATAGATAGATAGATAGATAGATAGATAGATAGATAGATAGATAGATAGATAGATAGATAGATAGATAGATAGATAGATAGATAGATAGATAGATAGATAGATAGATAGATAGATAGATAGATAGATAGATAGATAGATAGATAGATAGATAGATAGATAGATAGATAGATAGATAGATAGATAGATAGATAGATAGATAGAGATAGATAGCAGACAGGAGAGAGAGAGAAAGAGACAGAGAGATGAAGTATAAAGTAATATAAGTGTAGAACTGGGATTCTAAGATTTGGCTTTTAGTCTTCATTATGACATTATCTTTTGATTTAGAATTGAACAAGTTATATCTTTCTCTGGTTATTTTTCCATCACGTGTAAAAAGCACATGTGAAACTTACATGTTCTAAGGCTTCTTTTAACAAAAGGCAATGCATTAGTATATTAAGAGTTTAAAATGCCTAGGATTGCAATTATCACCTTGTGCTGAATAGGGAAATTCTGGGTGTGTTACTTGTAATCCTTTGTATTCTGCCTCAACATCATTTTTTGACATTGTTTCTATTTGGAAAAGGCCTGAAATAAGCTTCTTTGGTTTCTGGTGCTTCTACTCTCTGGGGAAAAGATTACATAATCAGGGTGGAGGATGGAGTGACAAATGTAGAGGTACTTATATCCATGCATATATACCCACTTATAAATACAGCCTGTAGAACACCCACAGTGGTGAACTCTATTAACACGTTTCCAACAGATCTTTCAGAACTCATTGACCATGAGGCTGTCAAGCACCCTTCTGCTCTTGGCCATTGTGGCCTGTTTGTTCCTCTTTGCAGGTGAGTTACAAATATATGTGTATATAAAATGGAATTTTAGACCAGACTGGTCAAAGTCCATAGTCATGATGTGATTTTTTAATGATGATTATGATGATGATAAGAGTGGTTACTGGCCATCCATCATTTAATTAAAAAAAATCTTTTATTTACAAATTAACTGTTTTAATTTTCACTATAATACTATGTAGAAGATGGTTTCATTTCAATCTAAAAACAATGCTACGCATCATAAAGGGAGAAGGCCTTTTCCTGGGTCATGAGGACCCAAGTGGCTCATCTAGAAGTTCTAGGCTAATTGTGTCCTTCTCAGAATACCACAATTAACAGCATTAAGTTATAAATAAACCTCAATCTTCAAGGAAGAAATAAATACATATTGAAATTAGAAATTTTCTAAAGTCACTTTTAAGTATGTCTTATCTATAGAACTTCAACTGCCAAACTTTTTCTGAGATCCTCTCATTTTTCTGTAAATTGGGTAATTTTTACTTACCCTCTAGCAAAGTAAAGAGCTGATTAGGTAGATTGATAGATTAGATAGATAGAAAGATAGAGATAGATAGATAGATAGATAGATAGATAGATAGATAGATAGATAGATAGATAGATAGAGATAGATAGCAGTAGATAGATAGATAGATAGATAGATAGATAGATAGATAGATAGATAGATAGATACTTACCCTCTAGCAAAGTAAAGAGCTGATTAGGTAGATTGATAGATTAGATAGATAGAAAGATAGAGATAGATAGATAGATAGATAGATAGATAGATATAGATAGATAGCAGACAGGAGAGAGAGAGAAAGAGACAGAGAGATGAAGTATAAAGTAATATAAGTGTAGAACTGGGATTCTAAGATTTGGCTTTTAGTCTTCATTATGACATTATCTTTTGATTTAGAATTGAACAAGTTATATCTTTCTCTGGTTATTTTTCCATCACGTGTAAAAAGCACATGTGAAACTTACATGTTCTAAGGCTTCTTTTAACAAAAGGCAATGCATTAGTATATTAAGAGTTTAAAATGCCTAGGTTTAATTCCTGACTCTGCCATTTACAAAGTGCATGTCCTTAGACAGGTTACTTGCCTCAAAACTCAATTTCTTTATCTTTAAAAATGTGCTTATTTATATGACTTAATATATGTAAGATTTAATACTGTGTTTAAAATATAGAAATCTGCTAATAAATGGTAGATAAGGTTAGTGTTAATAGAAATACTAGTAAAATCATGTGTTGTTTTAAATTTTCCTGTAATCATTTTGTATTCTATTGTTTTATTAGTATCATGTTCACCATTTGTCTTGGTTATTTTTTTAATCATGGCCTGTTGATTTTGGAAATTGTAGTTTATTTCTAGTAAACTACATGCCTCTTTGTCAAAGGCAGGTCTAGAGTTTGTCTTCACATAGATTGTTTTACAGCAAACATTAAAGAAGTGCTATAGAAGTCACATGAACAGCAAATGTAGTGAAAATAGCCTTGTACTTATGCCTTATTACATCATCTGTTGAGTCACGCGGTTAATAAGCTGTGCGTCCTGAGGTAGCCTTCCTCCCCTTGCTGGGCAAGAGTTATAATGGAAAATCTCTAAGGTTACTTTAACCGTAACATTCTAGAATTCTTCTGAGCTTCGTTATTTATAAGTGCTTTCTCTCATTGCAGAGGCTGTGAGCCAAGGAGGCTTTCAGGTATGTGCTTCTCTCTCTGCTGGGCTCTTTCTTATCATACTGAGTCTTATCACAACGGTGATCTTAATTTGGGTCATGCTGTGACTGTTCTGTTCCAGTAAGATCTGTGTCTGATGAGAATGTGGAATGAAAGCACGATGCACTGTTAGACAGTGTTATCATTGGTGCAAATGCATTTTCCTAACAGTGGGAAAGGCCTTGAAAACTACCTCTCATTCCCTTTAAAAAGGCACTTGTCATGACTCCATATAAGGAGATTTTGCTCAGTCAAAGCTTCTACGATAGTGCAATTCTTAGAAAAGTGTGAGATGGATGTCATGTATCTCACATCAGGATAATGCTGAGTGAAAGTGGTACTTCTTATAATAGCAATAATAAGATAACCATAAACTGGGACTAAAAAACAGGAACCCCAATGATTTGATCACTCTAGATCTCAGTACAGTGGGCATAAAAGTCATGACAAATGCTTGGTAAAATACACATTCCTGTGCCTACACCCACACCGAGACCTCTAGAGATGTAAAGGCCCACAAATCTACATTTTAAGAAGCCCTCTAACATTTCGACATATATTAACATTTGAGAATTACAGCTCTAAATTTTCCTTCTCAGGTTAGAGTACAGTACATAAGGGGACTATTTAACTGATACATAGATCTCAAGCTCTCTGGTCACTTTGTTTCACAATTAGTAATCATAGTGTTTACATTCTTGAGAGCGCAATTAGTAATAATAGACACTATATTCATAAAAATTTTTTTAAACCGTAGGTCTTAAAATAAAAAAATGATGAAGAAGCACAGATTTTCAGCTTTTTTTTTAGAATATGGGCTTTGAAAAATAGAGTATTTAGGTTTGTATTCTAACCTATTTTACCAGTGTTTGATTTTTGAGTTACTTACCTCACCCCTGTTAGCTTCAGTTTTCTAATTAATAAAATTTAGCTGATAATAGTACTTAATTCATAAATATGTAAGTTAATTTATGTGAAATCTATAGAAAAGTATTCAGCACAGAGTAAGTGCTAAATAAAAATAAATTGTTGTTATATAATTTCTATTATTTATTCTTAATAGCTAAGTTACATTTATAACTTGGTTTTTCTAAGTAAATATTAAATATTTTTAATATATTCAGACTATGAAAAGAAACAACTCCAGTACTTTCAAAAGAATTAATTCATTCAATACACATTCTACTCACTGATACCAAGTATTATTTTTAATACTTTAACATTCTTTACATGACTGTCTCTGAAATCATAGATAATTTTTGTCTGTCAAAATACATCCAAACTTTCTTTTACAAGGTATTCAAGTCACTTTCTAATCTGCTGGCAAACTTCTTTTCCTCATTGCTTTGCTGTTCATCTTTGGACCGGATGCTTTGACGTGCTGGATGGCTGATAGTCCCAGTTCCAAAGACCTCTCCCTTGCTTTAGCAGATGCCTTCTCATTCTAGCAGATAATTACCACCCACTGTCTGCACTGCCATTAAAAGTTTATCCAATCTCTCATCTGGAGGGACTTTAACCTCTTTTCATATGTCCTATACCTATGGAAATCTAAAAGCAAAATCACTTCTGCTCTATAACAGTCTCCAGAATGATCTATTTCTTTGTCATTTCTATTTCTATTGGACTACTAACAAATGTCTTCATATACATGTAATTCTACATCTATATTGTGACCCTTCACAGTTAGTCTTCTCTATTAAAATATGAGCTCTTAAAAAGCCATTTACTGGGCCAGCAGGTGGCATAGTGGTTAAGGCACTGAACTTCAATGTGGCTGCCTATGGTTTGAGTCCCAGATCTGTAGACCAAAATTCACGCTGGTGCATGTGCATGGGTGCCCAAAATCCAGAGAGGAGGATAAAGGAGAAGGGATTGCAGCATGGTCATCTCCCCCCAGTGCATGGAAGACAGGGATTTCTTGCTTTCTGTCTCTCTGGTGAGGTGAGTTCATGTGCCCTAAAGATACAAGAAAAAGAAAGAAAAGAAAAAAGTCATTTACTTCTTTTTGTTCTTAATGTGTATTTTTTTAAAAGAATTATTTAATTTTATTTATTATTAATATTGTTTTTTTTTTCAATTTGCTGTAGGGCATGTGCACTCACCGGAGAGAGAGAAAAAGTGTGTGTGTGTGTGTGAGAGAGAGAGAGAGAGAGAGGAAAAGTAAGAAAGCAAGCCTCCAGGTCCAGGATTTGAACCGTAGTTGGTCATATGGGAGTCCAGCACCTCAACTACCACTCTACTTTTAATGTGTATTTTCATGTAATAATAAAATAAGAGCTTTTTAAAGGAACTTATAAATGTATAAGGTTAGTGTTTCTTTCATATTCTTTAAGAAATAAATGATGTTGATGTCATTCTTCATAAAATAAAAACACTTTATTTAAATTATAGGCATATTGCAGCAACTATGAGCAGAAACTAGCTACAGATGGAAAATCCTGTCCAAAGATCCACAAACCAGTATGTGGCACTGATGGGAAAACTTACCAAAATCCTTGTGAATTCTGCAAAGCAGCTAGGTAAGCACTATTCAGACAGTATGCTTATTTTGGGCCTGTGGAGTATGAGTCAGGGAAATTATTTATTGAGTTTTCACCAACCTATACATTTTACCAAGAATTCTTATGTAAAATAAGGTAATAGTATAACCCCTAAACTGAGATTGATAAAGTATTTTTTTCCAGTTCACCCAGATTGGGATTAATTTCTGTGCAACTTCATCTCTGAATACCATCTTTTTTCTTTCAGGGAAAGAAATGGAAAGGTTGGTTTAAAACATGATGGGAAATGTTGATTCCTCTGACATGCAATATTGGAAGTGCCTTCGATTTGCTTTTTACATCAGAAGATTTATTTCCTTTTACCCAGTCTACACTACAATATATTTCCTATCCATTGTTATGCATAAAAGAAAGCAGTTTCAATAAAGTTATCTTAGAGAATTTCTAGATTGCTTTTTTTTGGGTAATAACAAAGGCTTTTTGTTTGTTTGTTTGTCTTATTTAGCTAGAGTAACTGATAAGTTACCTTAATGTGAAATGATAAAATTGGAAAACACAGAGTTTAGAATATTATCACATTTATCAAATCCAGAATTCTGCAATTCCGTACTTAAGTCTTCAAAGTTTATGCAGAAAAAAAAAAAGTTTATGCAGATGAATGCAAGGGAAATAAAGCTGTATCAAAGGAAAATAAATATAACTTATTTGACACAAATTAGTATTATTTAGTGTAAAGTATATTGGGGAAGTGTTATTCTCCAAGGGTCACATTGGGTTTGTTTTAGAGCTCCTTATCTGATAAAGTCAGAAATAAATAGTGTGAGACAAATGCAGATCACCTCAATCACTGGGGGAGCCAAATAGGTTCTGGGACAGCTGAAGCTTCTAGGTTAGTTGCTTCTGGCTTTATCATTTTACTACAGTGAACCACAGAAAATGTTGTAGCTTTCTATGTAGTCAATTGTGACAAAGCTTTAATAGATTTATTAACATGTTGTAGATGCTTGGAAATCTAGGGACGAGTAGACATACTTTGCATTTTTAGGCACTATTGGGAGAGACAAATGTGCATCAACTAATTAAAATATAGTTTGATACATGGCTGCTTTAAAAATATCACAATAAATAAATTATTCCATTTGTTATTTTTGCAAATATTTATTCGATGCTATGGCATAACAGATGCGATTTCAAGAATAAAGCAAACAAAGAGAAAGTGCTTGCTTTAAAGTATCTTATGCTTTACTGAGTAAGCAAAAATGTATATATTAAAAATGTATTTGTGTGGTGCCAGCAGGTGATGTGGGGGTTAAGGTGCTAGATTCTCATATGGCCAACCATGGTTTGAGTTCCAGACCTGGTGGCTTGTTTTCTCACTTTCCTTCCCTCTTTCTCTCTCTCACTGGTGAGTGTATGTGCCCTGTGGCAAATTTAAAAATAATAATGATGATAAAATAAATTACATAAGTAATTCATTAAAATAGATATATTTGGGGGTATTAATAAATTAGTAAAAGAAAGAAAATAGAGACACATGATGGAGAAAACTGCAGTATCAATAGGTTGGAAAGGGAAATGATCTGAAATTGAGTTTTCGATCTGAATCGTGAGAGAGGAAAAGGATTTAGACAAACACAAATAAGAAGAATGTTATTTCAAACTAAGAAAAATAATTTAGGAAGATATGGTTAGCATGTTCAAGTGAGTGAGAGAAGCCAGTTCATCACATCATACAAAGCATTGGGAGCTAAATAATATTTAAAGAGTTTGGATTTTATCCTGAATTATAGAGAGTTATTGGCTTACATTAAAAAGAAGACTTCTGGGCCAGCATCAAGTTTAACAGAGCTGGATCCCACATATATAGCCACAGTTGAATTCCTGAGCTGCTGGCTTGCAAAACATGCTGGGTTGCTGAGTACATGTGCCTGACTGCTCAAATTCTTAATGGGATGGAAAAATGAAGCAGAAGGGATTGTGGTGCTACTATGCCCCAGGGTTTGCTTTCTTGCACCCTCTCTTCCTGGAGAGTTCACACACTCTAGCGGTATTTATTTTAATTAAAAGAAAGGCTTCATAGAGGTCAGCAGGTAGCATAATGCTTAAGGCACTGGACTCCCACACACTCAACCATGGTTCAAGTCCTGGACCCAGTGATTTGAAACTCATGCCAGGCATATTTGCGTATGTGCCTAAAATCCTGAGAAGAGAATAGAGGAAAAGGGACCATGGTGTGACCGTCCCCCCTGGGGTGTGATTTCTCACTTTCTGTCTCTCTGTCTCTCTCTGTCTCCAGCAAGCACATGAGCCCTATAGCAAAAATATCTTAAAAAAAAAAAAAAAAAAAAAAAAACCTTCATAGAAGGGATGGTATTTTAGCGAATATATGACATATGAGAAATTTGCTGGGTAAACAGGGGGATAGCATTCTAGGCAAAAGGAAAAGACCAGAAACACTATGAAAAATGGTATATTTTTTTTAAAAATTGCTTCCAAAGTCTCAAATAGTATATGAAAAAAAAAATAAGATCACAATTCAAACCAGACACTTAAATATTACATAAGGAAATATAATTCTTCTAGAGTAGAGATCTTTGACAAAGGGCTATAGGTTGGAGGTGGCTTGGGGATGCTTTTTAGCCCATACACAGCTCACTTTTATTTCTAGTCTCATGTCAACATTGAAAAATTGGGAAGTTCACATTAAAAACTAGATTGCTAGAAAATCTTGAAAAATGAGGATATCCAAGTACAAAATGTTCATATTCCTTAATACTTAATAACCACCATTGGTTAACTTCTGACCCTATCACTTTCATCCTTTGTGCCCCAAATCATTTTCATTCTTTCACATTAGCTTCTGGTTCCTGATGGCTTATGAGGTTGGTATTCCTACTTTAAGTCACAATACGAAGAGACAAAAATATGGAAAGTGAGAAATCATCCCTCAGAGAAGGGGACCATATTGCAATCCCTTCTCCTCTATTCTCCTCTTGGGATTTTGGGCATGCAAATGTGCCCAGCATTAGTTTTAGACCGCCAGGCCTGGGACTTGAACAACAGTCAACTATGTGGGAGACTAATGCCTTAACCACTACACCACCTGTTGGCCCCCATTAAATACTTTTTAATTTTGAAAAATTCACGAAGAAACAGCTCACTCCATCAATAGAGAACAATTTCTTGCCTTTTTACCACTTCCATAATGTTAATATTCCTTCTGCTTGAAACCACACACCCAAAGTGACCTTCTGGCATTTTTTTATAACACACACACACACACACACACACACACACATACACACACATGCAATGCACACATGCAACTTGTATTTCCTTTTCCACATTTTCTTCTTTCAAATATCTTTTAAACTTCTCTTGATAGAGTATCATCAGCTGCCTCAGCAAGTTTTATTTAAACTCTTCTGTTTTGATAATGCATAGTAGCAATTAAAAATAAAAGTGAAAAAAATAGCTAACATTTAATGAGTGTTTTCTATGTACCAAACTTTGTTCTAAGGGATTTAATTCACTAGATCTTTACAACAACCCAATAAAGTAGTCATCAAACACGAGATCATCTAGATTTTCTTTATGTAATCTCCTTTTTCTTGTAAATTTATTTTATTTTAATTTCTTTTATACATTCAATCACTACACATCACTTAGCATATAAAGTGAATTTTCCTAACATGAATATACTTCACACCAGTCCAGTCAAGGATACTATACACACTACCAACAGGCTATCTTCTAAAAGCTGTATAATTTTGTACTTACATTTATATTAAATGTGTGATCCATTATGAGTTAATTTTTGTGAAAGGTGTAAAGTCTGTGTCTATATTCAACTTTTTTATATTTGAATATCTAGTTGCTCCAGCATAATATGTTAAAAAGACAATTTTTGGTCTATTGTATTGTCTTTGCTTCTTTGTTAAAGATCAGTTGACTATATTTATGTAAATATATTTCCAGCCTATCTATTCTGTTCCACTGATCTATTTTTGTCTATTTTCTTTCTGATACCACACTGTCTTGATTGCTATAGTGTTATATAGGTTTTGAAGTTAGATAGTGTCTGCCTTCTGACTTTGCAGTTTATCCAGCCATAGGTGTTTTGAGAGTAAGATGGAATCCCTGTTGCTCTTTGGGCAATGTAGACATAACACAAATTTTTGTACTGCAGATTCATGTAGCTAATGACCCCAAGTTAAAAATCACTATGGTAGAACTTGGTTGATTTCTTCATTCCATTTTTACCTTTTAAAATTTATTTATTTATTTTTGAGAGAGCCAGAGGCATCCCATACAGGATTTCAAGCTGCAGCCCACAACTAGTCTCAGCCAGCCTGGATGATGGGTATGAGTGGTTGCTTCTAGCAAGCTTCGGGAGGTACGGGACATGATTCAAGGTTATTTCCTGTGTAATCCAATTCTGTTATTGCTGTGCCTCTGCCTGGCCCTCATAATCTTCCTGAGCAAGACTTGGCCTTGACATCAGACTTGTAGGCTGTTAACATAGCACTAATACATAAGATATGGCATAATGTGTATATATATAGATATATATTTTTGACTGTGATTTTTTAAAATTTAAGTTTATTTCCTTACATGTATTCACTGTATATCATTACAGTATGCAAAATGATATTTTCTTTTTTAAATTTTATTATTTTTTTCATTAAAGATATTTTATACACATTATCATCAGCAATTTTATACACAGAGATCATACATATATCTTAATGACTACATAAACTTGATTGTATGAATATACCATAATATTGACTAACAATAATGATTAACTAATCAATACGGCTCAATATTAGTTAATATATCAATAATATCCCTGACTAATAACCACTTATAGTTTTTTTTCATATTTTATTGATTCACAAAGAGTCTTAATTAATCTAAATATTCTCAATAACAAGTACAGCAGATAAAAACATATCTATGAACACATGTCTGATTGTAGGTATAAAACTTAGTGAATATGGGAACCAGCAGTTAGCGTAATGGGTATGTCGCTGGACTCCCACGTAGTCGACCACAGTTTGTGTCCTGGTCCCGGTGGCTTAAAACTCACGCCGGGCGCATGTGCGTGCGTGCCCAAGATCCCGAGAGGAGAATGGAAGAGAAGGGATTGCAGCGTGGTTATACCCACTGGGGGGTGATTTCTCGCTTTCTGTCTCTCTGTGTCTCTGTCTGTCTGTCTGGCGAGCGCACGCGCCCTATGGCAAAAAAACCTCTCCAAAAAAAAAACCAAAACCAAAACCAAAAACAAAAACTCAGTGAATAGGAAGAACATACTATAAAGCAGCACCTAGCTGAGGCTATATAGCTTACTTCAGTCATTTAAAAAGTATATATTTTTTTATGTATTTTTTTTAATTTTGAGAAAAGCAGTTTTAACTTTAATAAGTTAAA